ATAGAAAGGATTAAGCTATACATTAGAGCAGGTGCAAAAACTGGAACAGCACTCAAGTTTCAAGATACAATTGCATAGCATTTTATAAATAACCCCAACCACATAGGCATGTCTCGAAAACAGAACTCTTCTTAATACAGGAAACACACAACCTTAATACATAGGTGAGGTACAGCAAAGAAGTTATAAAAGATGCTGAAAGAAAACTTTTTACAAATTGCCAACTCTATTGAGATTGAACAAACACATTCAGGTATTACACTAAGACTGTGTTTAAAGTTTGTATGTTTTTGTTTTGAGCTTCAGGTAGGGCATATATATTTGCACTATCTACAGCTGTAATCTAATGAAAAAAATTAACTGTTGAGAAATTCTAAGTCAGTGAGAATTTTATGGGGCTGGATTCTTTACAGTAGGTGTCTGTGACTTGTTGGGGATAAATTCAAACAATAAAGAGACAGCACACAATCCACTTGTTTTAAAATAATATATTAAAAACAAGTCAAATGTATGTACAAAAATTCTTTACACTATAGGATATCACAGTTGTATCTAAAACTTTAAATAATTCTCTTTTCTTGACAAAAGTCCACACAAGCTAATTTAGTTACTTTAGAACCCAATAAATAAAATAAATTATTTTTCTCTTCCCTGTTTTTTACTATACAATCTGTGATAAGTTCACTTATGCTACCCTGTTTTTTACTATAAAATCTGTGATAAGTTCACTTATGCTACCTGTTTTTTACTATAAAATCTGTGATAAGTTCACTTATGCTACCCTGTTTTTACTATACAATCTGTGATAAATTCACTTATGCTACCCTGTTGTTTACTATACAATCTGTGATAAGTTCACTTATGCTACCCTGTTTTTACTATACAATCTGTGATAAGTTCACTTATGCTACCCAGCTTTTACTATACAATCTGTGATAAGTTCACTTATGCTACCCTGTTTTTTACTATACAGTCTGTGATAAGTTCACTTATGCTACCCCGTGGGTTACTACAGTTGTATCCAGAACTATAAATAAATGTCTTCTTTTCATCAAAGTCTGCACAGACAGGTTCAATTACTTTAGAGCATCCTTTGACAAGACAAATTATTCTCCTTTATCTCAGTTAAACTATGAAACTCACTTTAAAATATGGCCCATTACGGCTAAACTAACAATCACGCAGTCTAAATTCATGTTTTCTTTCACTAACTAACTTTTTTCTGACTGAATTTCACTTGCACTCACTTGCTTGCCTATATACGTACATTGCCCAACTGAAGCCTAGAAATTTCTACAAACTACAAGACGCTATGATGTAAAAATACTCACTTAAGGCAACAAGAAAAATACAGAAGGTTCAAGTAATATGACGTCAAGTTACAAGTGAACTACACACACACACCTGTACGACTCCTACCAAGTTACGTGATGAAATTTGTCATAATTATCACCTTTAACACTCTTGTTATGAAAACTAAATAATCATTAAATATTAGATCACTAAATGAATTAAATAATAACTTATACTAAACAGTCTTGTGTATTCAACAGTCAGTAAACTTACACAACACACTGTTTTATTATTATCTAATGCAGAAATTCAGTTAAAAGAAAAAAGTCATTTGCAAAAAAGTTCAACTGCCAAAATTAATATTACTGCAATTATATCTTATTTTAACAGATTTGAAATTTCAAACAAAAGTAATAACTAAAAAGTGTAACAACTTAAACTGCAAGAATGTTTTCCAGTAAAAACTTTACAAGAAACTCCATTTGATAATGCTACTTTAACTGTTAGGCAGGTGTCTGTTTAGACAGACACATGTAAAAAAAAAAAATTCTTTCTTGGATTAAACCTTTTTAAACTTTTTTCTGCTATAATAAATGCATGTGAACAATGATCTACAACATAAGAATAACTTAATTAAACATCAGCAGTAATAACAGAGATCATGTTGAAGAAAGTGCATTACTTCGTCATTACATGTAGTGCTATGGAAGATGAATCATTATTACTCAGTATTGACAAACAATTATTATACATTCAACTACAATTAAATATTTTATCACCAAGTTAAAAGCATGCTAATTTGTATTAGCATAGATCACTTGATATTTCTAATATACTACATAAAATAATTTTCTGAATCTTATTTAATATTTTCCTAGTAATTTTAAATATTTATTAGGATATATTATTTCAAATTTTTTTAAAGAGTTACAAATTATTTAAAATAATAATGAAGATGAATTGTAAACAGTGAATTACATTGTATGTCATTTATTTCATAACTTGAAAATACTAACCTTAATTTGATCTACAAGAAGCTTGAATACTTTCACAACTTGCAACCAGTTTTGTAAACATTTCTGATGAGCCTAAAGAATAACAAATAAAAACGTTTTTAAAAATAATTTATCTAAAATCAGTATTTTTCAAGACGCTATATAAAACCATAGTTGTGATACTGTTATAAATGTTTGACGAAAATTAATTTTTCTTAACTTTTCAAATGTTTGTCTGTTGTTTATACAGAGGTGTAAAATGAATTACTAATAAAGCTTAGTTATGTTTTTGATAATCTTATATTAAAACATAAGACTTTTATTAACCAAAAATTTACAAGTTTTGCACAAGAGTTAAGGGATAGCTTTACTGAATTTTTACTTCTTAGGAAACATGATGCTGATAATTACCCACACACTATTATTTTTGTATCTTAAAACTTCAAAGAAACCAAGTCAAATTTTGAGGTAAATTAAACTGAAGTACTTGAAGAAAGTTAAAGCTATAACTGGTTTGAATAATAAATCCTTTCGAAGATCATGGTTCTACTTTCAATTGTGATTGAGAATGATCTTGCTCAATCATTTCCTTTAAAGTGTACAAAGTTCTCACAATCTATATTATTTGTTGCCTTTCAAAATCTGTAGTGTATACTGGAGGAATTTACACGTTTTAAAGTTTTATGTACTAGCTCTGAAGAAGCAGCAAAGGCAAAATGTCAGTTAAAATAAGTTCGCTTATAATTATCTATAGTGTAAAGGTCCTTTTTTTTAACTTTATTATCACTATGTATATCACTTTCTTTTACATTAATGAATACTAAAACCATGACATTTTATTTTAAAAACAGTGCTAAAGTGACAAAGACTTAATTTCAAGGGCCAGGTGCAGCTTAGTAGTTAGCATGTTGAACCTTTGAATCTGAAGGGCCATGGTTTGTTTCCTGTTGCTATCAAATAATGATTTACACTTTGGGAGTGTAGTGCTTTATAAGAGTGACAGTTAAATCCCACTATTTGATTAGAGTAGCTCAAAAGTTGATAGATTCCTAAATTACAGCTACAGCACAGATAGTCCTTTTGTAACTTTGCATCAATATCCAAAACAAACAAACTTACAAGGTGATTGAATTCTACACCACATAAAAAATGGATCTGACTTTCAGAATGGTTTTGGCAGTATTATAATTAATGCAACTTAACATCAACCTTAAAATGCTCATGTCTTTAATATGAAAGATACAAATGTAATGCTTTTTGCATACATGATTATAAGTACTCTAAACCAGGGACTAAAGAGGCATAAACGTCGAAGATAATAAATTATTTTCATTTTTAGAATTAAAATGAATTTCAAACAGGTACCAAAATACTAAAATTCTTTCCTTATTAAGCTTGAACTCATGTTGTCAACAAAACATAGAATTAAAATTTACCATACGTTTTTACTCATTGTAGACTATGTGTCACTTACCCATAATCCTCCATTTACCACCTTTCACGTGAAATATTGGGCAAAAATCATGGGATCTTACATAAGCTTTGATTTTCTGCCATAATTTAGAGATGACTGAAAGTTGCAATTGTGACTAGAATTTGCTTGCAAAAGACAAGGTATTTCAAAGGTATATACCTGTTTGAAATTCATTTTAATTACAAAAATGTAAAAACCAAATTGTGTAAGCTTACCTATGAAATTCTAAAAGCGAGAACACCCATAAAATGGGTACTGTCAATCATGAAAAGAAACCAAAAATATAAACCTAACAGCTACGGGCTACATATGCATATAAAACAAGGGAGAATCCTCAATAGCCACAGCAATTGAAATTCTTTTAGGCAGGGTTTAGAGTAAATTAATCTACTAGACCATTTTTCATTTTTATTAGCTATATTTTTGTGTGCCAGCAATAACAAGTGTGGGACGTGAGTATACCCAATTCAATTATATTACTCATCAGGTTCTCTTCCTGCCTACCCTCAAATTGAAATTCTTTTAGGCAGAATTAGAGTAAATTAATCTATGAGATCTTAGGTGTGGTCAAATAAATCAATTGAAAGGGTTTGACCTCCTAAGTCCAAAACTGTAATTAGATCTCAAATCAGTCAAGAGGTGACGGAGCTACGAGCTAAAAGTTTGTAATTGAAAAAAAAACTTAGAGCCATTCTATGAACTGCTATGCTGTGACTTAAAATGTAATCCTTTACAGTTTACAGGCTACAAGAAATATGTAGCCGAGCAGAGCCAAAGAATAATTGGCAGAACTGGATTCAAATAAGAATGAGTGGAATAGATCAGCTTCATAAAAAGACTGGACCTAAAGGACATTCCAAAAGAAGGTATTCTTCTCAGCAGGGTACCTCTTTGTCCATATTGCCCTTTAATTCAGGCCTTGGAGTTTACTTTAACTCTCTCAACACAGGCTCAGTTAATTTGGTTGACCACGTGACCTCTTTGTACTCATTCAAAGTCTTTATAGATTTGATACTACTAACTTTTAATATAGTATGTATATCTTCAAAAAATTTGGTAGACTTTCAGTTAACATTATGTCTTTCACATAAAAAAAATCATATTTTTTAATGAAGTATTTTCAATAAACTAAAAAAAGATTTGTCCATGAATAACTCAAGTATTTGTTTTGACTAGTCCGAGTACAAAGTGATTTTCATGTTAAAATTAAAAATACTTTCATTCATCTCAAAAATCTCAAATTTTATTTATGTAATCTCTAAAACCTCCGAAGTACATTTCACACATTTGTTTTCAGTAGAACAAGTAGCTTTAAACTTGTAACAGTATACATCTAGTTATAACTAAATGTTATTGTTTTATTGCCTTTGAACAGTGTCTAACTACTATCCATGCCATTATAAGTTTTAGCGCTTGGAGAAAGTGCAGCTCACGTTACACTATCGAATTACCTTACCCAACTACTCCGAGCTAATCGCGTGCATGCCTCGTGAATATTTTTATTATATTATTTATTTTACCTAATCTAACCTAAAGATATCCCTCTATTTACATTTTAGTTACTTTTATAATAATAAATAAAGAATAAACATGAAAAACAAGAAATAAAGTACTTACCCAAGTACTCATTTTTGTTGCTGTCGACTATCGATGAAGCTTAACCCTAGTTTTTTTTATACTACTAATAATTTCTATTTAATTAAATAATGCACCAAAGAACACAGACTAATAAAATGCAAATTACAGGCAATTTTTCTGGCTTTTCAATTATGCGATAAGAGCCATTACAAAGTTATCCAAGTTAGTCGTTGCCTTTCCCATGGGAACGAAGCCTGTATTACAAGTGAAATTGACAATTATCTGTTCAGAACACACTAGAATGTAATGCATTGTTTGATAGATAAAAATCTTGGCTTTCTATTGGTTCTAGGTAATATATAATTAAATGTAAGAGAGAACTATTGACAAATCCTGAAAGAAAGGATGTGACAGTTGGGTGTGGCAGGAGGGGCTTGATTTTTTATTTGATAGCTCTATAACCAAACAAAAATTGAAGGCTATTACAATTATGGTTTGTCTGAGCAATTTCGAGTAATTTATGTTTAATTTCGTAGTTACTGGAGGGGTGTTGGATAAAATAGAGAAGAGAAGATACCTAGAGAAAATGTGTCACACTAGAGGAAATTCAGGATATTTTTAAATATTGCTTTATAGAATTAAGAACTTAAAACTTATATACTATTAAAATATGGATTATTAGCTAAAATTTTATGCTATACTAATTGGTATAATATAAACAAAAGGTAGTTTAATAAAATTTTTAATATACGACACTAAAACCTTTTGTTATGCGCAGTAAAGGATACCCATGGCGATAGGGTTAAAGCCAACAATCTGACACAGATAGTGGCATAAAAAGGTAGGAGATATACTATGTCCTACTCCAGCTGTGAAAGGTTCTTGGGGGAGCAGCCCAGTATTGTATTACGCAAGAAACAATCCAATGGCAGTAGCCCTTCTTCATTGATATTATAAATGGCCAGTGAATCACATAACTGGCCACATGAATGGTGCTCAGAAAGAAACAAAAAAAGACCCAAAGGATGGGCCCAAAAACATAAGGATAATGCAATGGGAACATATAAATGTAACAAAATAAACAAATAAGAATAAAAACATAGATGATCTCCACCAAGGAGTCATCAGACACTAGATGACATCATTTGTCCACTTCTCATGGAGCTCAGTGTACAGGATGGATTTATGTATATATATATATACATAGACAACAAACATATACATAATCAAACATTTCCCATTCTCAGATACCCCAATATTTGTGAACAGGGGGTTATTGGGGACTATAAAAATGCAAAAAAAGTCAAATGCAGAGGTTAAAGAAACTGTGAGAGTCCTAACAACATGAATTGATATAAAGTATGATTCTCAATACCTAAGAACAGACTGTATTTAATAATGATATCTTTCTTGTTTTGTATTGTTTTTTTTTTTGAAGCCATAAAGATTCACAATCCCAACACCCTGGAAATGGTTAACAAGAGACAGATTTCACCAATCCTGGATAATAACCACAGGTAGGAAACAAATCCTGAAACTGAAGATACAGTAATATGATAAAGGTGCAATAGCAAAAATCAAATATGCAGATTTTATCAGTAAGTCATTGTTTTTATATCAGATATGAATTGTAATTTGCTTTCTGAGTATTGTTTAAGTAAATCTGTATTGCACACATTGGGGTCTTCATTAGTCGGTTATCTTTCCAATCTTTAGTCACCAGGATCTTTACCCTAAAAGTCAGTTACGTTTCCAATTTTCATTTATCAGAGTATTTACCATAAAGGTCAGTTACCTTTTTCAATCTTCATACAGTTATGACTAAAAAAGGCAGCAGAACATGATCAAAAACTTGCATAAAAAAAACACACATGACATACTCTTTCACATTTATCTCTGTAACTGCTTATCCAGATAATGTTTCTGAAAGAATATAACACATCTTTTGATTTTATAAGTAAGTACCCAGCTGGAACACAGAATTCTTTGATGGGTTCAGCTGTCTGTGATATATTCAGAAGAAGGTGATGATTACCCCAAAGGTCAGAAAAATAGCACTGATTAACAGGTTGTGTTTCAATTGAAATCTTTCTAGGATAAAGACAGAAGAGCTTAATTTTTATACTAAACAAAATCATTTTTTTCTCTAATTTTGCCTACCTCTCTGTTTTCTCCTGCTTGGCAAGCTGACGACTTTACTACATCTACCAGATAGTGAAAAAAACTTTTGTAGAAAGTGCTGTATGTAGATCTATTTGTATAGGAAAATACAAATTAAAAGGTTAATTAACATCACAACTCATGATATGCTCAGACATCATATCAAATATCATCTAAATAACAAATAATGTCAATTCTGTAGTGTTTTCTGCTCACATCAATAAACTATAAAAGTTCTGTTTTGTTCAATACAGTTATTAGCTTTCCATTTGAAGAAAGGCAGATATCTCAAAACTCTTTTAAATACTTATAGGTAAGTCCCTATATCACATATTAACTATGAAGTGGCAAAAAAATAATAACTGAATGTTCCACAAAACCAAATACACAATTGCACAATATTTTGATGATTTGTTAATTTTTTAATATGCAACAAAATATTCCATTACTATTTTTGCATTCCATACACACCACAACAGAGCAAAAATATTAAAAATCCAGTTTCCCTTTCCCTATTACCTTTAAATTACCTATGCAGAAGAAAGAGCCTATCATAAAAATAAACTATAACAAAACAAATAAACAGGAAAACACAAGAATTTGGGGTAAAGAATCATCAATGTGGAACTTGCTGAGCAGATCTCAAAAGGTCTAGTCAATATCAGCTGAAAGCAAATAGAAAAGTGAACTCAAGGCCACTTTAAGGACTTGTTTGATTTACAGGACAGTTAGAGAAACCAAACAGACATTGATTGTACTTGTGATGTTAGACTAAGATGTTTTTAAGTGGAATGTATTATAATTTTATTTCCATAAACTTAGACAAGAATCATTTTAGTTATAACTGTATGGGAAGCCTTGAACTCTGAAAACTTCTAGAATTAGTGGAAATGAAAAATTAATCCTAAGGAACTTTAATGAAGGTTATAAAGGTATGGCTGTCTGGTATTAATAACTTAATAAGGCTATTATGACTGACATGTGGCTTGCTCTTCCACAATTATAGATTTATGAAATTAGAGACAATCATACCTGTTCAAAGTTGGATACACAGAAGAACAAACATTTTTTTTTCCTGCTTCAGCAACAAGATCCTCAAGGGCGATTGTACTAAATGTTTCTAGATGTTTTAAAGCATCTTCAACATTCATAAATTGGATTCTAAAGGAAAAATTTGATCTTTTTAACGATATTCTAAAGACAAAACAAAATATGATTTTTTTGAATGACTGTATGATTCACTTTTTAACTGTTCAAGAATTGTAGGTGTTTAATCACTGCTGATGAATGATTTGGTATAAAACTGGCATTGAACTTATTTAGTCCAAATAGGGCAGGATAATAAAAGTTGTCTTGATGGTTAGATAGACATCAAACAGAACACTTTATTATAACTTATCACTTCTCTATATTTAGTTTATTACAAATCAAACTGTGATATTTAAGCAACATTCAAATGTTAAAGGTTGGGACAGAAATGTAGAAATCCTACAGCTATTCTTGGACAAAGCATGTGACATACGTACATGTACTGCTTTTAGGTCAAAAAATATCAATAAAAAAAAAATGCAACAAAAGTATGAAGAAATAACAATCTATATTTTATCAACAGTTACATGAAGATACTGAAGTGTATTATATCACTTGATAAAGTACAGTTTGAAGACATTTAGTGTTTACATTACTTGATAAAGCGAAGCTTGAGGATGCTTAGTGTTTTACATCTTATATATATATATATATATATATATATATATTGTGACCCATGATGTGGCTGTCCAAGCATATGCCTGTCTCCTATTTATGGAGGCTGCTCCCCACGCTGTGTTTGAAAAGCTGTGGACGTAGACAAAGCTCAACATTCACTTTTGAAATGACGAGAATAGGCATGAATAATGTTGATGCTTACAGTATATTGCACATTAAGTTGTTAGAAATTAATCATACTACCATTCACATTTCAAAATGTGACCTAACATAAAGAATAAAAGTGTAGATTTACCGTATGTTATTGAGTGGCTCTTAGTATGACTGAAATGCTCAACCATTACTTTTCATGGTGGGAAGTATAAATAGCTCAGAGCTGTGGCTCTGAGTGAAACCAAGAATGCAACATAATCAATCTTTTTAAAGTCCATGAAATAATTTAAATTAATAGATTAAGTTAAACTTTTCCCATCACTGGGGACCGGTACTTTTGCTTGTCACTTGATAAAGCACGGCTTGAAGATATTTACCATTTTACATCATTTGATAAATGGAAGATATTTAGTAGGATGGATTTCCATAAACTCAGACAAGAATCATTTTGGTTATAAGATAGTTGAAAATACTTAGCATTTTAAATCACTTGAATTTTCTTCAAGCAAAACATCACTTTTTTTTCTTAAGACTTATAGAACAAAACATAAAAACTCATGAAACTAATTTCTTCACAAAGAAAGAGCAGTGAAATTAATTGCAAAATAACAATTATAAAAGCTAATAAAACTACTTTTTTCCACTAGTATTTTCCAGCTTTGAAACAAGACCAGAAGACAGTAAAACTATCAATACAACTTTTTGTTTAGTGAAATAACGTGAATAAAAGAGATCTCATGAAAAACTTTAAAAACTAATTTTATCATGTTACATGCAATAAAACAAACAGAATGCATTACACAATATAAAAAATAATTGAGTAATATACAAGAATAAAACACAAGGAAGCTACCTGTGATGTAAACTGAAGGTTCTAGGTAACAGAGGATTATGTAAAAACACAGAAATAACAGTCTTATACATACAACTTCATACATTATTTACAAACAAAAAAAAACAGTTAATTTCCAACCAATTAAAAAAGTGGGGCAACATATTATAGTTAAAAAACAGTAAAGTACATCCTAACACTGCTCATTCATGGAAACAAGATCAGCAACGATTACACAGCTGCTATACACTTGGCGGAGCATAAAAATAGGGATATCTGAAATTTATTGTAAATCTGTGCCAAACATTAAATTAGGCTTACTTTTAGTAACAGTGGATTAGAATAAACAAAAATTTTATTACTTGAATACCAAATAATGTAACTTTATGATGCTTAAGTTTTAAACTGTAAAGAAATAAATTTAGTAGAACTACACTGGGCAAAAATTGATTGAGAGGGAAAGTTTAACAGTTATACAAAACTGGGAACTTCTAGTAATAATACGCCTAAAAATTATATCTCTATTTTCAACAATAATGGAAAAGGCAGTTAGTTTAAGACATTTCTGATGTGTAAATCTTTGCTCATCTCTAAGATGTATAAAACATCTATAGTTTTGGGTCTACTGATGTATTAGTACTTGTAATGAACAAACTCTATTTATCAGAGAACTGATTATCCTACAGCATCTTAAATCAGAATTTGATCTAAACCAGTAATACTTTCCTATATTTCTAAAATTTTATTTTGCAAGTTAACATAATATAATTCAATTTACCTTAGAAGGGTTTCTATATTTTGATTATGTTTAGCTCCCTTCTCTTTCAAACCATCAGAACCTAACCAATCACGTTTCAGGAAACTGTCTGCTACCTTCACTAACTCTTCCCGGAGCTCTTTGTCTTCTACTTGAAGTAACAATGTTTCCAAGAGTCTAGTCAGCATAACAGAACTTGAGAAAGTAGGCAAGGATTCAGAGAATTTCACCAAGTAATGGAATGCATGCCTAATTTGTGAAAATAAAAAATAAGCAATAAAAATTTTGAATGCAACCACTATCCTATCTAAAAAATGTAATTTACAACTCAATCAGCAGGCTCTGAGTTAAGCTTAACTTTGTTTACACTTGACTTAATTAACTAAACCCATCTACGCTTAAAGTGACTTGTGTCTGTATATATGTTTGTTTGTCCATGACAAAATAATTTCAACTTTCAAGAATTCTTTGATATGAGCTTGACAGCTATTAAAGTTATTCCCCTTGATATTCTATTTGTGCTGGAGACTGATACGTGTTGTCTCACAATTCACATAAAGCCAACAAACAGCAAAATAGATGCTGTGCCTGGTGTGGATACCTTTACTATTATGATTAAACTTAAGTAAAGACAGATCTGAAAATTTTGAAGTTCTCATTAAGGTCAAAACTAAATTTACTTTAATTCTGTCATTACGGACTCAGTCGATTCGACCTAAACCTTGACCCTAAATTGACTTTTACAGTTTCCATACTATAACTTCTGATATGTTCTGTGTAATTTCACAAACTTTCGGTAAGCATTAAAAGTCTTTTGTGGACAAAAAAATCAGAATTTTTATGGAATTATTGTCACTAAAATTTTCTTTGTGAATATATGGAGTCAAAGTGTTGACTCTCCAAGTGCAAAGTGATTTTCATGTTAAGGTTAAAAGTATTTTTATTCATCTGAAAATTCTCAAATTTCACTTGTGTAATACACCAAAGAACACAGAATAAAAAATGCAAAAATCAGATAATGTTCTTTAAGTATAACAATTTTTCTGGGTTTCCATGTATGTGACACGAGCCATTAAAAATTTGGCTAAGCTCATTCCTGTGGGAATAAAGTTTGAACTGGAAGTGAAATACAAAAGTCTCTATACAGAAGACAATGTAACATGTTACTTGATAGATTAAAACTTTGACTTTCTATTGATTATAAATAATATAGTATTAACTGTCAGAGAGAACTATTGGCAATTTCGAAAGAAAGGATGTGACAGGTGGGCATAGCATGGGGTCTGATTTTCTAGTTTATGGCTCTGTAACTTAATAAGATTGAAGGCTATAAAAAGTATGCTTTGCCTGAGGAATGCAACATTATAATAAGTAATTTACATTAAATTTCATACTTCTCAGAGGGGTGGTAAATAAATTAGAGAAGAGGAGATACCTAGAGACCAAATGACACAATTCTCATACTAGGGCAAAATGAGAATTTTTTAATATTGCCTTATAAAATTAAGAACTTAAAACTTTACAATATTATTGATTCCTAACTACTTTTAGTAAAGCATATTCAAACTAAGTTGGACTTCTCTCACTCAACCCTTTCCATATGGGTCACGTCATCATGTTTGTTAACTCGCATTTAAAATTTTATTGAACTACTGCTTCACGAATTTATGTCAATAAGTTTGGTATCAAACTGTAGATCACAATTCATATTTTAGTATTTCAATTTCTTAATCTAAGAGTAAATATTAAAAAAACACTGTTAAACATCGATTTTTGTGCGTCACGTGGTATGTTGAATACAGCACTGGTTAAATTAGATGTTTGTGATGTCAAAATACTAAGTACTATAGTTTCATACAATTAGGTAACCCAAATTACCAATATACGTACAAGACTAGTAATATAAAATAAAGAAGCCTCTTATCTTT